GAATCCAGCGCACTCGCTTATTCACTAAACAATGGACTTCTATGCCGTCCACGTGATCACAAGGTCCTTGCGAGGACCTCGCAATCACATAGCCCAGGAGGGCTGGAAAGGAAGCACGGGGACTCCCTGGGATGTGAGGTGAGTCCTCACACTGCGATCGCCAGCGACAGGGTAAGTAGAAAGGACGGCGGGGACGTGCTATGCCGCCCCCCGGCGTTTAAAGCCAGGTCCCTAAGGATGGCATAGCACGCCCACCATCCTTAAGGGGTTAAACAAGAAGATACTACTATACTGTTGATACTGTTGCACATAGAAGGCTTATCAATAAACTGCAATCTTTAAGTTTGGATTCCAATATTGTTGAATGGGTAAGGCAGTGGCTGAGTGACAGGCAACAGAGGGTTGTAGTTAATGGAATATATTCGAAGCTTGGACTTGTCACCAGTGGGGTACCTCAGGGATCTGTACTTGGACCCATTCTCTTTAATATTTTATTAGTGATATTGCAGAAGGTCTTGATGGTAAGGTATGTCTTTTTGCTGATGATACTAAGATATGTAACAGGGTTGATGTTCCAGGAGGGATAAGCCAAATGACAAATGATTTAGGTAAACTAGAAAATGGTCAGAATTGTGGCAACTGACATTTAATGTGGATAAGTGCAAGATAATGCATCTTGGACGTAAAAACCCAAGGGCAGAGTACAGAATATTTGATAGAGTCCTAACCTCAACATCTGAGGAAAGGGATTTAGGGGTGATTATTTCTGATGACTTAAAGGTAGGCAGACAATGTAATAGAGCAGCAGGAAATGCTAGCAGAATGCTTGGTTGTATAGGGAGAGGTTAGCAGTAGAAAGAGGGAAGTGCTCATGCCATTGTACAGAACACTGGTGAGACCTCACTTGGAGTATTCAGGGCCAGATTAAGAGCCCAGTGGGCCTGGTGCTGACAATTATGACGGGCCTAATTACAAAATCATATCGACCAAAAACAGTAAAACACTCCCAAGCATCATATACCTGATGGAGATGGTGCTGGAGAGAAAGAAAACAGCAGCTATAAGAAAACACATACCCTAGGCTAATCTCTCTCTAATTTATGTTTTCATCTTTCAAGTAAATCCATAATCCCTAACAGCAGTGTCCAGTCAAGCAGGAAGTCAATGGGCAGGGTAAAAGGGTGTGCCACTGACACAAATCACGTAACCTGCCAAAAGGGGCGAACATGCCCAAAAAGAGGACATGTCTGCTCAAAGAATTAGAAGGCCAGCCTGGTATGAATGCATGTCAGGCTGCCTGCCAATCGTGCAGCTGGCCAACTAAGGGCATACTATGCAGACAGCACCCTGAGCTTGGCATAAATGCATCTAATGATGCGCTCACTCAACGCTTTCTAAGGACTGTCCCCTAGCACTCGCTGGTCCACTTGTCTCCTTGCCTTCTTACTAGCAGGCAGAAGCTCCTGGTACATGGTCTGGGACAGAGAAAAGCTGTATGTAGTGAGTGTAGAAGAAAGGAACATGCCACAGTGTTAGAGAGACCAAAGTCAGCATTACCTTAAAGGATAACTATAGGGTCAGGAACACAAAAATGAATTCCTGACCCTATAGTGTTAACACCACCATCTAGCCCCCCTGGACCCCTCATGCCTCCATAAATATAGCAAAATCTTACTATATTCAAGTCTGAAGCTGTAACTCTGCATGCTGTTAGACTCATAAAAACAAGCAATCTGTTGACATCATTAGAAGTGGTGGCCTGATCCAATCACAGTGCTTCCCCATAGGATTGGCTGAGACTGACAAAGAGGCAGATCAGGGTCAGAGCCAGCATGATTCAAACACAGCCCTGGCTAATCAGCATCTCCTTATATTGATGAATTTAATTAATAAATCTCTATGAGGAAAGTGCAGAGGGAGGAGACACTGAATGTTTGGATGCATTTTAGGCAGCCATGACCCAGGAAGGATCTCTAACAGTCATCTAAGGAGTGGCCAGTGAAGTTATCACTAGGATGTAATGTAAAGACTGCATTTTCTCTGAAAAGACAGTGTTTACAGCAAAAAGCTTGATGGTAATGATTCTACTCACCAGAACAAATTCAATAAGCTGTAGTTGTTCTGGTGACTATAGTGTCCCTTTAACTATATTCATTGTCAGCCAGTCCACACAAGTTTTATTCCCATACATCCCTCTTAAGTTTCCTTACTTAATTAAGAGTATGTGAAAAGTAGTTAGGGTTGCCACCTTTCTTGTAAAAACATACCGGCCTTACTAATTTGCATAATTAAATATGTATGGATGACATCACATGATGTAAATCACAAGGAGTGACATATGAGAAAATGCTGTAAAATCACCAAAAACTACTTAGTTTGATTCTGCTGTATAGATGTATTCCTCCCAGTGCCCTCATGACTCAGTGCCCCCATGTGGCGATTACTCCAGGTCTCAGTGCCCCAGGGGACACTTGAAGACATGGGGACACAGACACCAGGGACACAGACACTAGAGACACTGGCTGGGAGACATGGGTACATTGAGACATGGTGACACAGAGACACAGCGGCCACAGACACTAGGGACACTAGCTTGGAGACATGGGGACATTGTGACACTTGAGGCAATGAGAGACATGGAGGCACTAGGAGACATGGGGACAGTGAGACACTGGGAGACTAGGGGTCACTGAGACACCAGGGACACTGGCTGGGAGATATGGGGACACTGGGAGACATGGGGACACTGTGTCCCCATGTGTCTGTATCATAATATCTCCCAGTGTCCCTTAGTGTCTCGGTGTCTACTATAATGTCTCCCAGTATCCCTTAGTGTCTGCCATAATGTCTCCCAGTGTCCCTTAGTGTCTCAGTGTATGTCTCCTTGCAGCCTTTCCCCCCATCCCTTACTTCCCTGAGCTGTAGGCTGTCTCTGCAGGGTGGGAGTTGCTGTCTGGACTCTCTGTAGCTGCACCCCTGCAGATCAGTGAGTATAGATAGGCAGGGAGGGATATGCTGGAACTTCCTATCCCTGCCTGTCTCCACATACAGCGACCCCTACTGGCCAGTACTGATATTGCATAGTAATTTCTTGTTTATACTGATAAAAATACCAGCATTTGTATTGCCAGTATCGCTGCAATATTGGCACCAGCCAGGCAGCCTCAAATACTGTCTGTGCCAATAAAATAAAAGCCAGGTGGAATCCCTAAGAGTAGTGTGTGAAAAAAAAAAAATGTAAAAAAAAATAATTTTTTTTTTTTAAATCAATGGGCCTATTCCATGGGCCTGGGCCTGGAGCTGCAGCTCCATCAGCCCCTATATTAATCCGGCCCTGGGAGTATTGTACACAGTACTGGAGACCGTATCTTCAGAAGGATATTGATACCTTAGAGAGGGTTCAGAGAAGGGCTACTAAACTGGTTCATGGATTGCGGGATAAAACTTACCAGGAAAGGTTAAAGGATCTTAACATGTATAGCTTGAGGAAAGACGAGACAGGGGGGATATGATAGAAACATTTAAATATATAAAGGGAATCAACACAGTAAAGGAGGAGACTATATTTAAAAGAAGAAAAACTACCACAACAAGAGGACATAGTCTTAAATTAGAGGGACAAGGTTTAAAAATAATATCAGGAAGTATTACTTTACTGAGAGGGTAGTGGATGCATGGAATAGCCTTCCAGCTGAAGTGGTAGAGGTTAACACAGTAAAGGAGTTTAAGCATGCGTGGGATAGGGATAAGGCTATGTCTGCTGGCAGACAACAGTCCAGAGACCTGATTACCGCCACGGTGTCTTTCTACTACAGGTAACCCCTAGCCCATAGGAGTCGCGACCAACGGGCTTTGAGAATACGTACTTTCACCTAAAGTAGTGGTTGGTGCCGGATATATATCCTGTTCTCACAATAGTTCTGTTTTTATGCATATATTTTTTTATGTATCTATTTTTATGCAAAAATAAATTTTGTTACTTTTATAGTCGAACTTGACTATCTTGTACTCGCTATATCTCCATTTCCTAAGCGCCCTCAGTTGGTGTACTATTTGGGCTTGTCCCAGTATGCCACCTTTCCTTTGTATATTGTAATTTTTTAGGCTTTCTTGGGAGTGTGCCTAATGAGAAGCTGCTGTGTATATTGAGATCCTAGTAGCTCTATCTATTCTGATTGTATGCTTTTTTTATGTTAAGAGTTAATGTCTGGCTCTCCTAGTTTGTGTCAGGAATATATAGGGATCCAACACGCAGTGTGTAGTAAAATAGATAACGTATACTGGACTTTAGAGTGGCCAGGCTAACGTCACAAGGACAGAGAGTAAGCAGAGACAAGCCGAGGTCAGGGAAGTCAGAAATCAGGAATAGCAATTGTCATGGGTTTCAGGATTTCTTAGTGTCCCTTGGTCACCGCTTCTCTAATCCTCTGTTGCTCCTGAATAAAGCTACAACATACAGTGATTCTAGCCCTCTGAAACTTGTTTTGGGTAAAACAAGAGAACTGTTTATTTCAAATAAAAATACATGTATTTATCCCCTACACACATAGGCGTGCGCACGGGGTGTGCCGGGTGTGCCTGGGCACACCCTAATCCCCGTGCGCACGCCTATGGTTTGAGTCCTGCAGGAACAGCGTTCCTGCAGGCACTCAGTGCCCCCTGTTTCACCTCTTGCCCCTGTCATGGGAGGGCAAGAGGTGATGATTCCCCCCCACCTCCCCCACCTTGCAGGTCAGCGCGCGGCGAGGGAGCTCTCTGCTCTCTGCTTCCTCTCGCCGCGCGCTGATGCCGGGAGCCGGAATATGACGTCATATTCCGGCTCCCAGCTCCAGCAGACAGCCCGCGAGAGGAAGCAGAGAGCAGAGAGCAGAGAGCTCCCTCGCCGCGCGCTGACCTGCAGAGAGGCGCCCGCCCCCACTGGACCCCAGGGACAAGTCCACCAGCACTCCAGGTAGGAGGCTGGGTGGACATTTAAAAAAAAAATATATATATAATAATTTGTGTGTGTGTGTGTGTCTGTGAGTGTGTGAGTATGTGTCAGTGTGTGTCTGTGAGTGTGTGTCAGTGAGTGTGTGTGTGTGTGTGTGTCTGTGAGTGTGCGTGTCTGTGAGTGTGTCAGTGTGTGTCTGTGAGTGTGTGTGTCAGTGAGTGTGTGAGTGTGTCAGTGTGTGTCTGTGAGTGTGTGAGTATGTGTCTGTGAGTGTGTGAGTATGTGTCTGTGAGTGTGTGAGTGTGTGTGTGTGTCAGTGTGAGTGTGTGAGTGTGTCAGTGTGTGTCTGAGTGTGTGTGTCAGTGAATGTGTGAGTATGTGTCAGTGTGTGTGTCTGTGTGTGTCTGTGAGTGTGTGAGTATGTGTCTGTGAGTCTGTGAGTGTGTGTCTGTGAGTGTGTGTGTCAGTGAGTGTGTGTTTCTGTGAGTGTGAGTGTGTGTGTCTGTGAATATATATATACGTATATATATGTATATATATGTGTGTATATATATATATATATATATATATATATATATATATATATATATATATATATATATACACACACACACGCGCGCGCGCGCGCGGCGTGTGTTTGTGCTTTAGGGTGCACACCCTAATGCAATAGGCTGCGCACGCCTATGCCTACACACAACAGGGGGTCTTCAGCCAGTACAATGCAAACCACTCCCTGGTATCTTGGGGTCTGGGACATTATTGGGTCAAAGACATGATAACCTTAATTTCCTGCTGGACACCAAGAAACATAGCACAATTAACACAATAGCTTTCATCCAGCTCAACATTTTACATAATAACTCTATATTAACACAATGTATCCCAATATCCTATATATCATTTTAAAGTCTGTGACCAGGCCCATAGTCTGTGGGCAGGAGGCTAGCTGTTATGCCTCTCCAGCAGGCTGTGGCACGGGAGCTTCCGTGACAGGGATAATACAGAAGCCGAGTCAAAGGAGAAAAGAAGGTAGAGTCGCTAAACAAAGCCAAAGTCAGAACCAAGAATACTTCATCGATACAATGTGCTATTTGGAACAATAATAAGCCGCAACAGGGCAATGACTTATCCCTTTTATAGTGTGCTCTTTAAATTTATAGCCATGCGCTCGTGTTTGAATGTTTTAGTGGGCCGTGACGTCACCAACATCATACAAAAATGGGTGGGGCTATCGCTAGAATCCCTGGAGAGAGGAAATGGACTTCTGGAAAGGTCCCTCTTCATGTGCAGGACGTCTCCAGGTTGTGGCACAGCCTGTGCCAACACACAAGGTACCCTGACAGTTTGCTCCCTCCGTCTTCTCATGTTCTTTCCTGCATGGCTCAATGTCTCTGTTAGATGGAAGGAAGTGACAATGGGGCCCCTTAGTATGCAAACCCCGGTACAGCTGCACCCACTGCACTGGCATTAGATCCACCACTGCACACAAGCCTTTGACACACATACACCATTGCATTCACACACTAACCTTGAAAACATTCATACATGCACCTTTGTATTCATGTGCATAAACAAACTGACACTTCAAACATATAGCTCTGCATTCACAAACTGCGTTAGCCCTGCACAGACATACACACATTACACCCTGTTCCAAATTATTATGCAAATTATATTTCTCATTTACCTAAATAATTGATGTAAATAACAGTCAGCATAATTCTCATGTTATCAACTATTAAGAGTACAGTTCAAATTTTATAGAACAAACCTCCTAATGATAACAGTATTTTTTTTAACATAAAAAACTTACAATGCACTGTTCCAAATTATTACGCACAGTAAGTTTCAAACACTTTATAGGTTGTAAAGACCTGAAAATTGTCATTTGTGTTTGCAGCATATTTACTGAAATCAAAAGCTATTTCAATCAAACTTATAAAAACATTTTAACTTTTTAAACATTTTAACAGGTCACGTTACATTTTAACATAGGATCCCTTATTTGATAGTAGCTTCACAAGTCTTGCATCCATTTAACATGTGAGTTTTTGGACAGTTTCTGCTTGAATTTGTTTGCAAGATGTCAGAATAGCCTCCCAGACTGCTGTTTGGATGTAAACTGCCTCCAACCCTCACAGATCTTTTGCTTGAGGATGCTCCAAAGGTTCTCAATAGGATTGAGGTCAGGGGAGGATGGAGGCCACACCAGGGCTTTCTCTCCTTTTATCCCCATAGCAGCCATTGATGCAGAGATATTCTTTGCAGCTTGAGATGGTGCATTGTCATGCATGAAGATGCATAATTTTATTATGGAAAGCATAGTTCTTCCTTCTATACCAGGGAAGAAAATAGTCAGTCAGAAACTCCACATACTTTGCAGAGCTCATCTTTACACCTTTGGGGACCCTAAAGGGGCCAACCAGCTCTTTTCCCATGATTCTGGCCCAAAACATGACTCCACCACCGCCTTGCTGACGTCGCAGCCTTGTTGGAACAGGGTGGCCGTCCACCAACCATCCGCTACTCCATCTATCTGGACCATCCAGGGTTGCACGGCACTGATCAGTGAACAGGACTGTTTGAAAATTAGTCTTCATGTATTTTTCTGCCCAATGCAGCCATTTCTGCTTGTAAAAATTGGTTAGTGATGGCCAAATAGAAGGTTTATGCACAGTTGCAAGACTCTGGAGGACTCTACACCTTGATGTCCGTGGGACTCCAGAGGCACCAGTAGCTTCAAATATCTGTTTCCTGCTATGTAATGGTATTTTAGCAGCTGCTCTCTTGATCCGATGCATGGATCTGGCAGAAATCGTCATCAATGTGCCTTTATCTGCACAAACCCGTCTGTGCTCTGAATCGGCCACAAATCTCTTAATAGTGCGATGATCACGCTTAAGTTTTTGTGAAATATCTAATGTTTTCATACCTCGTCCAAGGCATTGAACTATTTCACTCTTTTCGGCAGCAGAGAGATCCTTTTTCTTCCCCATATTGCATGAAAATGGTGCTCTGCTTAATAATATGGAACACCCTCCTTTAGTAGTTTTTCCATAAATTGGGCTCACCTGGCCATCTAATTATCACAGGGGTCCGAGATTGTTTTCAGTGATCAAAAGAGCCCTGAGACACAATGCCACCCATGAGTTAAACTGAAAAACAAAATATTTAATCTTTGTGACACTTAAATAGAATTTGCATAATAATTTGGAACATGATGTAATACACAAACACTGACACTCAATGCTGCAGACAAAAAAGGGAATTTACAAAAATGCTTTTTGCTTGCACTTTTGGTGGCGAGTAATTTAATGCCTGTCTAGTAAGTCAGTAGTACTTTATTTTTTTTTAATTTTATTTATTTGATATTTAAAAAAAAAAAAAATGACAATACATTTATCTGACCAATACATTGCATAACATCTACACAAACAAAGCAACATAAAATACAAAAACATACATACTTAATTCATATCAGGGCAGATTTAATACATTCTATTCAGGTTTATAGGGAATTCTTGTTTTTTTCTTATTTGTTCAGGGTAACGTCTAAATAGTTGACAATTTCTTTAACCAGTTTTCATATGCGTCTACTTTTTTACTTTGGGAGAGAAAAGTTTCAGCTATTGATTTTTCCATGTTACTTTGTAATTTAATTTTTCTCTGAAACTGCTTTGTTTATAAAAAAAATGGGTTAATCCTAGAGGGACCAGGCACCCAGACCACTTCATTAAGTGGAAGTGGTCTGGGTGCCTAGAGTGGTCCTTTAAGTAAGTCTAGGGGGAGATTTGCTTTTGAGGTGATCATATTTATGTATTTATTATTAAATATGGTTTCCATATAGTGGGAAGCTTTAGAGGTAGACTTTAAGACATTTTTATCCACAAAGTTTTTTATTCTCAAATAGGTGAAAATTTCTCTCTCAGGTATCTGAAATTTCATAACGAATTCGTGAAATGTGAGTACCTTGTCTTCATTCATTATTTGCGATATAGTTATCAAATCTTTATTTGGCCAAAGCCTTAATGTCAAATCTTTCATATTTTGTTCTATTACATTCAATTTACATTTTTTTGGTATATATTGTGTAATTTTCAGCTCTTTTTTAATCTCTTTCCATACCTGCAGTGATTGGGATAATATTAATGATTTATTCGTAAGAGAGTCAATACACTCCTTATCACTATTAAGCCATAGGTAATTTTCTAGATCTTTTGTCTCAGTAGCTTCTGCCTCAATAATATAACATGGGTCAACCTTCATATAGTTGTCCTGTAAGTTATATACATGTTTTACTGCATTTGCGTAATATATAAGTTTTATGTTAGGAAGATTTAAGCTTAAGTCAGTAGTACTTTAAATGTTGAGCCCTGTATGTATACATAGATATATATAAAAGCGGCTATGTAATTTCAGCTGTTTAGTCATAGCAATTACGTTCTCATCCTCTTTGCAAAAATAATAAATCTGCCTCATTAAGTTTAATATAGTTTGCTATGCTTTTAAAATATTTTAATATGTTTGGATACACTTTTTTTTTTAAATCAAACTATTAAAATACACACAAATATATAATATATAAAGAAAATATATCATAATAAAAATATCAAAACATTATACAATTAAAATATTTTTTATAATATTAAATAGTTTTAAAAGTTTAGCCAAAAACAATAAATCATTTAGAAAGCTTATCCAAAAATATTAAATTGAGCCCCAAATAGGCTGCACCAGAATTCACAAGTGAACATAAATGGCTGTAATTTGGCATGGTCGAATTGATGCGCCCAGTAATAATTATAATGTATTCTATTTTCACAGCGTGCAGCATTGGAAAAACTGTCAGCGGTACAGAAGCATGTGAGATAAAGATTAATTGCGCAGCCATGAAAGCACCATTACAGAACTAATTTTAGTAATTATGAAGTAATGAATTGTTGAGTGCTAGACCCCCTCTCCCCCCACAATCCCCCCTATATCTTTCCAAATGGCTTTGGAGTGGATAGACAAAAAAACGGGGGTCTCTCCAGCAACCAGTGCCATCCCTCTACAGGCACCTAGATAATATGGAAGATTCACTTGCACATCATCCATCTAAAGTCATCCAACATGGACAGCAGTAGTAAATACATTTCCAAAGGATTTAATATTTTTATAAAAACTTTTAACATTATTTTTCAACATAATAAAATATCAAAATTATATCATATATATAAAAAAAATATAAAGATATTACAAAATGTAAATATTTTTCAGAATATAAAAATCATTTCA